CATCACTAACGATAACACGTGGGTGTCTGCATAATCGTGGCACCTGGACACCTGGTTAATACCATGATGGATGAGGCAGACCACACAGATGGGCAGCCACCGACACCTCACGTCAGGTCTTTGTGGCAGCTTTAGAATATCTCTGACGGAATTAGATGATTTTTGTAACCGGGTTAGAATATTTCCGCGACACAGCTCGAATATTTGTGACTGTTCGAATACTTCTGTAACATTGATGGAATATTTCTATTGGTAGGGATAAAACATTTTCATGGCAGAGTTAAAACATTTCCGAGGCAGTCATGTACCTGTAATACTAGTGTGAAAAAGACGTACTATTTGCGAGGCAGGGATAGAGTATTCCATCAGTGTTGACCCAGGCCACACAGGATAACGTGCCAGTTCCTAGAAGGATATTTACCCTTGGGCTTAAAATAAATTCAAGAGAACAAGCAATCACAACTAAAATCGCCAAGCTAAAGAAAGTCGGTCAGAAAGAATTCAAAGCACTAGGAGTGGATGGAGCACAGACCAAGAGGATGAAAGAGGCAATTAACGAGATAGGTCAGAAAATCCTTGGATCAATGACAAGTTTCTAAGGACTGGAAATTAACAAACGTCACCTCGATAGTCAAGAAGGTAAAGTACCAGTACGACATAAAACTAAAGGCTAGTCGAGCTTAACATCACATATATGCATACCCTTTCGAGAAAATTCTGAGGAACGCCATCCTCCAACATCTGACAGAGCAGTCTCATCGACGTTTCAGAACTTTTATGATTTCATGTAAACAAATTTTTATCAGGCAAATTTGCAAACACTCCTTGAGACGGTAACAGACTACGTAGACCAACGTTTAACAGTGGATGTGTTCTTCATGCTCGGCTCGGCTCATAGATCCAGGTACAGAGCATCACAAGCAAAATGAGTGGTGTGCATTAAACACTGACTCGAACACAAACAACAAAGACTAGTCATAAACGGCGTACATACAGAACAGAAAAAAGGTTCTCAGTGGTGTACTGCAAGGAATCATAAATCGTACCTTTGAATACAAAGACAAGAAAGTGCTCATTCAATTTTTGGGCTCTTGTACGTCCCCATCTGCACTACTGTAACAAGCATGGCGGTCACACCTACACAGTGACAACATCAAAAGGGGCAACAGAGAGCGACTTGCGTTACTCCGGGAATAGTTAATCTCGAATATCCAAGTAGACTGAGGCCTTGGGACCGACATCTCTTCAGACAAGACACAAGTGGGTGAACCTCACAGACATTCATAAATCTGACAGGAATGCAAGACGTTAACACATTCTTTCTTCATGATGTCAAGCGCTACATACACAAGAGAACACAACTTCAAGCTCGCCAAGGTGTGATGAAGGACGCACATAAGAAGTGCTTCTTCACACAGAGGATGGTGACCTATGGAACAGCCAACCAACACAAGTCGTGGAAGCGAGAGCTGTACTGGGTTATAAAATAGCCTTTAACAAGACTACCAAGAACAACGAACGGATCCTACACAAGTCGGTGCCCTCCTCCACCTGCAATGGCCACCTCTAGTAGGGGATGGCCGTAAGATGAATATAGTATGTTGTTAAAATATTTCTACGGCAGGGATAAGAAGAAATAATACTGTTTCAGGGACAGAATATTTCGGTGACGACTATAATATTAGTAGAATATTTGCTACCACACGTTTAGGTAACAAAACCAAACACACACACACACACACCCACACACACACACATGCACACATACACACTCACACACCCTAAGTCTGGGTCTGAGTCCTCAATATCCCCTCAAAAGCCCTCACTGTCTCTGTTCTGTATATAGAAGACACCACTGTTTCAATTCCTCCTAGAATATATATTTTTCCTACAGTACGAGAGAAGGCGAGATAAGCCTCCCATACTCCATCACCCTGGGTTATAAAATCACACTCGGCAAGTCGCTAGTCGTACTACCAGGAAATTGGGGTGGAGATTTCCGTAGATTCCCTTGATTCACACAGGTTTTTGTTTTGTTTTGTGTTTATTACAGTATATGTATAGTACAGTCTAGCCCCTCTGGATTTCGTAGTGTTTAGATGCCAGATTTTTTTCCTCCGTCAGATTTTTCTTGTGTGTATATATAATGGGGGTATTCTGACCTTTTGGATTTTTGGGTATCATATTTTTCCTTCAGAATTTTGGCTATCTGGTTTGTTTGCCTTTGGATTTTTGGGCTGTCAGGTTTGTACCGATTATCTATCTATGTTTTTTCACTCTTCTAAATCAGACCCTCTGGATTTCAAACTCCAGATTTTTAACCTGGCAAATTTTTCAAACATATTCTCAGCTAAGTAATATTTCTACATATTTTTCAAGGACAAAATTTTCCTTACACGTTTTATTGTATCCAATTTTTCTGTCCGTTTTTCCCTACAGATTTAATGGTATCCATTTTTCACTGCAAGATTTTTCCTACAGATTTTTTTTTATCCTCCCGAAAATCCTTCCTAGGTATCACATTTCAGATATTTGAGCGAACAGATTTTACCAGCTTATATTTTTGTCTCCGTGGAATTTCAGCAAAATTCTCTGTCCACAATTTCTGTCTGAGAAGTTGTAGTTGGGGGGAATTTTTTATATTTTTTGGTCAGAATCCTATAATATTTTTTGGTGCTCTGAAACTATTGGCCTGACAGATACCTAGCCAACATATTTCCTCACGCTAGATGTATTGGTTCAGTGATATCTGACCCTTGTGTTGTGGGAATGTTTTTTTTTTTTGTGTTTTGATGTTCTTTTAGTGGGTATATAAAAGTGAGTATTTATAGCTGTTTTGTTTGTTTTATTCCTTTTGAGTGGGAGAATGTATATTGCATGTAAAAAATTACATATATGAATGTGTGTGTGTGTGTGTGTGTGTGTGTGTGTGTGTGTGTGTGTGTGTGTGTGTGTGTGTGTGTGTAGCAACGTGCCGAGGTCATAATATTGCCTACGAATAATATACAGCAAAATCCAATTACTGATCTATGTCACGTAACACAAATCACCGCTTCTTCTATTACCTGTCCACATTAATTCATCAACTCTTGCTTGTGACACACAAAAAAATCCACAAATTTCACTCGGAATAGAAATGAGAAATATATATATATATACATGATATTCAATGCAGTTTCATATCGAATTATCGTTCAGGTGTTAAGTCGTGAATGATGTCACTAAATGGGGCATTCAGAGTTCCCCTAATGGTTTCAGGAAGTTCAGGTCACTACGATTTCCAATGTTTATCAAGCCAAGAGTTAGTCATTTATTATAGGAAGCACAAATTCCTTGGTCCCTCGTTATTGGATATTCGATCTATTGGGTGACAGGTGTTGAATAGTGGTCCTAAACTTGGTCTAAAATGAATTAATAATGTTTAATGATTTCTTGTGTCTTGTCAGAACTGATGAAAAGCTTTATATACCAATTTGTTGATTGGTAGACTTAGTGAATTTTATTTGAGACATAAAATTCGTGGACTAATTATTATTATTAGTAGTAGTAGTAGTAATAGTAGTAGTATAATTGGTAAAATGAAACGTGGCCTTCATCCTCCCCCGATAGCCACACTTCGCCGCCATTTTATTACCTTATAATTAAATATCCTAATACATAAGTAGCTATCCTGGCTGTGTTGAGTTAGTTGAGCCGCAGATCTATGCGGCATTCAGTGACTGTTGCCTCATAGTCAATATCTGCCACTGTTGTCGGCTTTGGAGCCGATGCTCTCGTTCCCCTGAGGAGAGAGAAGGAAAATTATTACTGTAACCACCATTTCTAATAATAATAAAAATAATAATAATAATAATAATAATAATAATAATCATAATAATAATAATAATAATAATAATAATAATAATAAGGATAATAAGGAAAATGATGATAATAGTGATTATATTACTATTTTTATTATTATTAGTAGTAGTAGTAATAGTAGTAATAATAGTAATAGTAGTAATAGTAGTAGTAGTAGTAGTAGTAGTAGTAGCAGCAGCATTATAATTGGTAATATTATTACTGTAGACACCATTGCTATAGTTGTTGTTGTTGTTGTATCATCATCAAAAAATAAATAAATACCAACTGGTAAAACACTGATCTCAAAGGCCCATTATCACTCTCAATAACCATAAAACTTAGCAACATTATAGATCACTTCATCACTTCTTCTAAACATCACGGTAACAAAAAACGCCACATCAGTTATAGTCAGCAGTCATAGTCACTTCTGCTGCATTAAACACAACGGCCAAATCTGGTTCGATTGAAGGAATCTCATTAATAGTTGTGAAAAATCAGGTTCGGATTCCTCGAAATTTTCACTCGTATCCGGACACCATCTGTAACTTTAATTAATTGCCAGTTGGGAATTGGCTGTTTCACGGGTTGAGGGACAGCTTTTAAAGTTTCGTGCAGCTGCTGTTTTCTGGTGCTGCTGCTCACGGTGCTACTGTTCCTGGAGCTACTGTTCCTGGTGCTGTTGTTCCTGGCGCTGCTGTTTCTGATGGGTACTGTTCGTGGTGCTACTGTTCCTGTTAGATGTTGTTCCTGATGCTGCTGTTCCTGATGCTGCTGTTCCTGGTGCTGTCTGTTCTTGATGTTGCTGTTCCTGGAGATGGTGTTCCTGGTATTGGTGTTCCTGGTGCTGGTGTTCCTGGTGCTGCTTTTCCTGGTGCTGCTGTACCTGGTGCTGCTGTTTCTGGTGATGCTGTTCCTGGTGCTGCTGTTCCTGGTGATGCTGTTCTTGGTGCTGCTGTTCCTGGTGCTGCTGTTCCTGGTACTGCTGTTCTTGATGCCGCTGTTCCTGGTGCCGCTGTTCCTGACGCTGCTGTTCCTGACGCTGCTGTTCCTGGTGCTGCTGTTCATGGTGCCGCTGTTCTGGTGCTGCTGTTCTTGATGTTGCTGTTCCTGGTGCTGCTGTTCATGGTGCCGCTGTTCTGGTGCTGCTGTTCTTGATGTTGCTGTTCCTGGTGCTGCTGTTCATGATGTTGCTGTTCCTGGTGCTGCTGTTCCAGGTGCTGGTGTTCATGGCGCTGATGTTCTTGGTGCTGGTGTTCCTGGTGCTGGTGTTCCTGGTGCCGCTGTTCCTGGTGCTGGTGTTCCTGGTGCTGGTGTTCCTGGTGCCGGTGTTCCTGGTGCCGCTGTTCCTGGTGTTCCTGGTGCTGCTGTTCTTGGCGCTGCTGTTCCTGGTGCTACTGTTCCTGGTGCTGCTGTCCCTGGTGCCACTGTTCCTGGTGCTGGTGTACCTGGTGCTGTTCCTGGTGGTACTGTTCCTGATGCCGCTGTTCCTGGTGCTGCTGTCCCTGGTACTGCTGCTCCTGGTGCCACTGTTCCTGGTGCTGGTGTACCTGGTGCTGTTCCTGGTGGTACTGTTCCTGATGCTGCTGTTCCTGGTGCTGCTGTTCCTGGTACTACTGTTCCTGGTCCCTGGTACTGCTGTCCCTGATGCCGCTGTCCCTGGTGCTGCTGTTCCTGGCGCTTCTGTTTCTGGTGCTGCTGTCCCTGGTGCTGCTGTTCCTGGTGCTGCTGTTCCTGGTGCTGCTGTCCCTGGTGCTGCTGTTTCTGGCGCTGCTGTTTCTGGTGCTGCTGTCCCTGGTGCTGCTGTTTCTGGCGCTGCTGTTCCTGGTGGTGCTGTCCGTGATGTTGCTGTTCCTGATGCTGTTGTTATTGATGCTACTGTTCCTGATGTTGCTGTCCCTGATGTTGCTGTTCCTGGTGATGCTGTTCCCTATGTAGCTGTTCCTGATGTTGCTGTTCCTGGTATTGGTGTTCCTGGCGCTGCTGTTCCAGGCGCTATTGTTCCTGACGCTGCTGTTTCTGGTGCCACTGTTCCTGGTGGTGGTGTCTTGATGCTACTGCTCCTGGTGCTACTGTTCTTGATGCTACTGTTCCTGGTGCTACTGTTCCTGGAGTAGTTGTTCCAGGTTCTGTTACTGTTATTACGATTGACTTGTGTATGTGAAGGATAGTTGTAATGATTTATTTATAGGTAATTATCTAAGTTTCTTTGTGGGTAATTACTTTAAATGTAATTATGATAATTCCCTAAAATAAAAAATCTTCCTTAATGTAATAACCCTTAAATGTAATAACCCCTTAAATGTAATAACCCCTTAGTGTTATAACTCTCTAATATACAGTTATTCCCTTTAATATGTTATCTCCCAACCCTTTGAGTATGAAGATAAATCCTTAATTATGATAATCTTTGTAAGTACTCAGAAACTTAGGTCAGCATACTCAAGGGGTTAAGTTATCATACTTTAGGGGTTAAGACATCATCCTTAAGTGGTTAAGACATCATCTTTAAGGGGTTAAGACATCATCCGTAAGAGGTTAAGACATCATCCTTAAGGGGTTAAGTCATCATACTCACGGGGTTAAGTCATCATACTCACGGGGTTAAATCATCATACTCACGGGGTTAACGTAGTGTAGAGCCAGCGTGTTGATGGAGTAACTACAGTATAATGAAAATCTGAATAAAATCAGATTTAATCCTGACTTGCACGAGAACATAAAAAAACAGCAAATATTAACATCGAAAACTTAAATGAAGTGAGTAATTACTGTAGGATAATTAGTCAAATTATTTCAATGGTCATTAACATAACTAATTAGGACATTAAGCCTTTTTTTTTTACATCTGGATCTTAATCAGTGTGTTGAGGATAGTTCTTGTATATATTGAGTCTGAACAAAAACCTTTTAACTCTTCCTTTCAAAAAACAAAACAAAACACTAACAAGTTTTTCTTTTGGGAGCGGAAACAAAAGAAAGAAAATTGAGGGGGAAAAAATCAACAAAAACCTACAGGAAACGAGGAAAGGGAAACAGTTATTCTCATATTCAAGGATCATGAAGGAACTACTGAAGCGCAGCGGTCAAGTGGATCCAGCACTCGCATCCTATTCTAAGGGGTTGTAGGTCGATTCACGAGTTAATGATTACCTTACTTTACCATTTGGGAAGTGGAGGCGGTCAAGTACAGTGCCGGCTATGATGCATTAGGCGTAGTTTACAGACGAGCAGTCATATCAGTGGGGACTACTCACAAGACAACTAATTACTGTAACTGCATCCTCTTAACCCCAGATCATTAATTATTATGTTAAGGAATATCTAGATTGGCATGTTGAACAAGATCAGAATTTGGAGAAAAAAATATATAATGACCTTGGGTTTTGGGGTGCACGAAGAGTTATTGTCTTGGAAGTATAAATGAACGTGTTTACTAAATTCACTTATTCCAAATTTACAGAAAAACGCAAACATACCGTGACATTGGTAATTAGCGGCGGAAAACTGGTGAAATTTTTGTCAAAGGTCATCAAGAGGAGTAATGAGCCAGAATTACAACTTTTTAACAAGAGATCATTAAAACACTTGGTTATCTTACCCGAGAGACGAACTCTTTGGGAGTAATGGTCAGGAGACGATCACTGCAGGAGGTGAGGTTTGGGTGAAGGGTTTTGTGTTTTAGAGGACGCCTGCCATACAGACAGACGTTAATTTGTGTATGGTTATGCTTTATAATGTAGGCATTTTTTATTATTATTATTATTATTATTATTATTATTATTATTATTATTATTATTATTATTATTATTATTATTATTATTATTACTATTATTATTATTATTACTTTTATTATTATTATTATTATTATTATTATTATTATTACCTTTCCTGTCTCCAAGTTGAACAAAATAAGTTATTGTCCGCTGGAAATACATTCCCAATTGACCAGTGAAACAGCCACTCATAATGGTCTCCCCTGTGCCGATACGAACATTGGTACCTTGAAATTCCATTAGTTTTTTTTATAGTTTGTTCGAAACTTTTTGTTGCAGAATAAAGTTATCTCCAATTTGCTGTAAAAAAACATTGATTCTCTCTCTCTCTCTCTCTCTCTCTCTCTCTCTCTCTCTCTCTCTCTCTCTCTCATCACAACACACTTCATATATTTCCGTAATTATTCACGACAAAGCACCACTGTCAAATATATTTTCACCCATTTGGCAGCCGAGACACAACCACAGATATAACTACCCCACCACACACACACTGGCTGGCGTCTAATGGATGAAGTTGGTCGGGAGATTTGGTCACATTGAGTTGAATATTTTGCGAGGTGCAGAGCTTCTCTTTCTGTCTCGGGCCCCACGGAGGTGTCTGGGAGTGTCGGAGGTTTGATAAGAGTATAATATTATAAAGATAATTCATATTAACTAAGTATGTGTGTATGTGTTTGTTTGCGTGGGTACGGTGTGTGGGTGTGGAAGTAGGGCGACGACTTTGGCTTGGTAGGTGAAAGGAGGAAAGAAAATCCTAGATTATCTGTCCTATTGCCAAGTTTTCACTGTTGTGGAGGTGAATGTTTTTTTGTTTGTTTTTTCGTTAAGAGAGAGAGAGTGTGTGTGTGTGTGTGTGTGTGTGTGTGTGTGTGTGTCACAAGAGAACAAATGCCAGTATTCTTGCTGACACCAACTGTAGGAGCATCGAGGCTACCATTATCCATGAACAACTACGCTTGACTGGCCATGTTACCCGCATGGACGACAGTAGACTGCCAAAGCAGCTACTTTACAGTCACCTAACGAATAGTAAGCGTAACGCTGGCAGACAAGTGAAAAGGTATAAGGATAGTCTTAAGATAAACCTGAATGTGCCAAATCGACCCCCTCACCTGGGAGACGATTACTCCACACCGTAACGCTTGGAGGAGCACCACACGAGAAGGTGTCAATACTTTCGAGTTACCCCGACTGCATACCGAAGCAGACAAGCGCCAACACCGGAAAGACGCTGCCGCCGCCCTTCCCGCACTAGATGGAGCCATTCAAATCGTGTAACACCTGTGGTGGTGTGGTGAGAAGACTCTATATAGTGCGTGTGTGGTGTGAGAGTCAACACAGTGTAAGAGTTTCCGCCATAGGAAGTTAGGAACCCTCTCTTGTAGGGTACGATGAAGGTAGCCCTGATTGCTTTTTTTCAGAGGATAAATCATAGCGGCGAGGTGACTGACCACAGCGCCGGGGCACTTCCCTGTCATTACCCTCCACCAGGCGCTAGTATTAACCCCCTAACTACCCTTATCGCCCTCCTGCACACGTTCAGGGTATCAAGGGTATCTACTGGATCTTCGGTATTTTAGACTTAATTGGAGATTTCAGAACCTATTTAACAGGCTGACGTAAGCCAGCTGAAGGAAGGATGGTAGAAGAAGGTGTCGAAATTTCCAGCGACTGTGCTATAAGTAGACTCGTTCTCTTACTAAAGGGGAAAAATTACCTTAGGAATCGTATAGACTCTGGGACGAGGCTAGACGCTCGGCAGCTGGTCTTCAATATCATACATCTTGTCACAATTTGATATGTATCACATAATATCCCCGGGTGCATGTTAAACACAGTGCAATATGCATAATTGAATTAGATGGAGACTGAGGCAGCAGGATAAGCTTTGTGTTCGTGTATTGGCGTCTGGAGGCCAGGGGAGGAGGAGGCAGCAGTATGGTGGTGGTGTGTTTAGATAGACGTTTATTAATGTTTAGTAATACAAGAGACAACCAGACAGCCGCCCCCCGACACCCTGCCCAATGACTCATCCTCTCTCCCTCCTCCTCATGCATACATCTGGTCAGGGAGAATATAAATCCTTCATCCACAAATTTAGGAATATATAAATATAACCTAATTTAGAGAGTTGGTCAAGGAAGGGAGGTAATCAACAGGTGTCAGAGGTCTGTGTACTGCGGTTAGTGGCTAAAGTCCGTATCTTAGTGGCTAAAATCCGTATCCTTCACACTTTTATAATCAAAGAACCTCAAAAATTAGCAAAGGTGAATTTGGTGGTGTGAGACCATACGTAACTGTCTGACTTAAGCTACGACACAAAGAGGGTGGGGTTAGTGCAGAAGAAATTTGACTCAATTCTATAATAACTTTGTCGTCCTTAGTTCCAGGAAGATGTATGATGAGCGAGTGTTTGGGTGGTGGTGGTGTGGGCCCCGTGCTGTGCCGGGCTCCGGGCTGACCACTGAACCCCGGCGACCTTAGGCTAACACTGACACACCCAGTCATACGTTCAGTAAACACCGTCACGGGAGGAGCTGCAGGGATAATGAATGTGTGCTTGTGGGGGGACACATACACACAAACATTATCTCTCTCTCTCTCTCTCAGCCGTGTAAGTTACATACAACACCTCACATATTTCATCAAAATATAAATTTCGTGTTTATATTACCAACACTATCAGTCTCCCCCTCCACCAACACTCTCAGTCTCCCCCTCCACCAGCACTATCAGTCTCCCCATCCACCAACACTCTCAGTCTTCTCCTCCACCAACACTCTCAGTCTCTCCTCCTCCAACACCCTCAGTCTCCCCTCCACCAGCTTATCAGTCTCCCCTCCACCAACACTCTCAGTCTCCCCTCCACCAACACTATCAGTCTCCCCTCCACCAACACTCTCAGTCTCCCCCTCCACCAGCACTATCAGTCTCCCCATCCACCAACACTCTCAGTCTTCTCCTCCACCAACACTATCAGTCTCTCCTCCTCCAACACCCTCAGTCCCCTCCACCAACACTATCAGTCTCCCCTCCACCAGTACTCAGTCTCTCCTCCTCCAACACACTCAATCTCCCCATCCACCAACACTCTCAGTCTCCCCTCCACCAACACTATCAGTCTCCACCAGTACTCAGTCTCCTCCTCCAACGCTCTCAGTCTCCCCTCCACCAGCACTATCAGTCTCCCCATCCACCAACACTCTCAGTCTCCTCCACCAACACTCAGTCCCTCCTCCTCCAACACCCTCAGTCTCCCTCCACCAACACTATCAGTCTCCTCCACCAACACTATCAGTCTCCCTCCACCAGTACTCAGTCTCCCCTCCAACACCCTC